GTTAGCCAGGATGGTCTCGATCTCCTGACCTCGTGATCCGCCCGTCTCGGCCTCCCAAAGTGCTGGGATTACAGGCTTGAGCCACCGCACCCGGCCTTTTTTTTTTTTTTTTTTTTTTTTTTTTTAAAGATAGAGTCTCGTTCTGTTGTCCAGGCTGAAGTTCAGTGGCGCGATCTCGGCTCACTGCAACCTCCGCCTTCCTGGGTTCAAGTGATTCTCATGCCTCAACCTTCCAAGTAGCTGGGATTACAGGCATGTGCCACCATGCCCAGCTATTTTCAGTAGAGATGGGGTTTCGCCATGTTGGCGAGGCTGGTCTTGAACTGGCATCAAGGGATCCACCCGCCTTGGCCTCCCCAAGTGCTGGGATTACAGGCCTGAGCCACCATACCCAGCCTGTTATTTTTATTTTTAGTGACAGAGTCTCTGCCAGGTGTGGTGGCTCAGGCCTATAATCCCAGCACTTGGGGAGGCTGAGGCTGGCGGATGGCTTGAGCACAGGAGTTCGAGACCAGCCTGGGCAACACAGGGAGAACCCCCGTCTCTATTTTATTACATTTTTTTAATTAAAAAAGAGAGGGGGGGGGTCTTGTTCTGTCACTCAGGCTGGAGTGCAGTGGCATGAACACAGCTGTCACTGCAGTCTTGACCTCCTGTTTTCAAGTGATTCTCCCACCTCAATCTCCCAAGTAAATGGGATCACAGGTGCATGCCACTGCACCTGGCTAATTTTTAAAAATTTCTTGAGACAGAGTCTCCCTCCATGTTGTCCAGGCTGGTCTCAAACTGCTGGGCTCGAGCAATCTTCCCTCCTCAGCCTCCTAAAGTGCTGGGATTACGGGTGTGAGCCACCATGCCTGGTCCAGATGATCTTTTAACTGATCAAGAGCTTATTCCCAAATTGAATTCTGCTGTCTTCTCAAAGGATGTGCTAGCCTTGGTTTGGCTATCTTTTAATTTGGTGGCATTAACCAATGGAGGTTAATGCATTGGTCACTGGGGCTGATGGTGCCCTGATGAATTTCCATGACTGCTGGAACACTGGATGAGTAAGCATATGAGACACTTTTTTTTTTTTAGCATCCTCAACATGGGCATTAGGCTGTTTTTTTGTTAGCCTACTGATTTTATAGAGTGGTCTAGGATAGTTTTCTCTTCCCTTTTGTCTTCTGTATGTACAGGAAGAATGGGATCATGAACCAAACCTTCTACACTACTGAATAGAAAGCTTATGATTAAAAATAGCTAACATTTACACAGCACTGACTGTTGTAAACATTTTCCAATATATCAGCTGTTTAATCTTCACAAAACCCAATGAGATAGACATCGTCATCCCCGTCTTGCAAATGAGGAAGCTAAGGCAGAAAACTTATGTCCCTTGCCTGGGGTCATGCCACTAGTAAGTAGAGGAAGTGGGGTTTATATTCAGGCGGTCTGGCTCCAGGATCCATGGTCTTGATCACTGTTATATTGCATCTAAATTTCAGCAAAGAGGGAGATGATGAGTGCATGTTACCAAAAGATTGCTTTTTTCTGATCTGCTGCTTTTTTATTTTGCAGTGTAGTGTCCTAGCTTCTTGGAGTCTCTGATGTCACCTAGGGGAGAGAACCGAAATTCTTAGCATTTTTTCCCAAGCCATCCAACCTCTCAATTCTAAAGCTGAGATGGCTTGGTAGCTAGTGGATCTGGCTTCATAGTTTCTTGGTTGCAGTGAAAAATGCACCAGGTTTTGGAATCAGCCTAACCTGAGTTTAAATCTTGCTGTCCATCCATCTATCCAATAAATATCTATCATGCTCTTAAATGTCAACTATAGGATTTGTACTGTGTGCTGAGGATACAGTAAACAAAAACAATTCCTTGCTCTCACCAAATTTAGTCAGGTGAGACAAGACAAAAACAAATACGTCAGGTGGATGCTAACAAGAAATATAAGGCACAGGGATAGAAACTAAGGAGAAGCACCATTTTAGAAATATGGTTAGGCATTTGTGCCCGGGAGTTTGAGGCTGCTGTGAGCCGTGATCGCACCACTGCACTCCAGCCTGGGTGACAGAGGGAGATCCTGTCTCTTAATGCAGGCAAAAAGAAATATGGTTAGGGAAGATCTCAGATATGGGGACATTTGAGCAGTTATTACGTGAGGGAGGAAGTATGTGGCTAGCTGGTGGAAGCCAGACAAAAGGCCTTGAGGTAAGAGAATGATTGCCCTGTTGAAGGAACTGCAATGAGGCCAGTGTATTCAAGCAGAGTATGGAAGGGGGAAAGTAGAAGCAAACAAGATGACAGAACAAAATGAGGGGGCGTGGTGGGGGGCGGGGGACAAGAGAATGCAGCTAGAGCTTGCCGAGCCTTATAGTTCAAGCGAAAGACAACAGAGAAGAAACCAAGACAATGTGTCCTTGGCAAATCACATACAACTTTTGACTTTTTAATCTTGGTTTTCCCCTTTCTTTTTTCTTTTCTTTTCTTTTTTTGAGACAGAGTTTCGCTCTTGTTGCCCAGGCTGGAGGGCAATGGCGCAGTCTCGGCTCAATGCAACCTCCGCCTCCCGGGTTCAAGCTATTCTCCTGGCTCGGCCTCTCGAGTAGCTGGGATTAAAGGCACTTGCCACCACCCTCGGCTAATTTTTGTATTTTTAGTAGAGACGGGGTTTCCCCATGTTGGTCAGGCTGGTCTCGAACTCCTGACCTCATGACCCGCCTGCCTCGGCCTCCCAAAGTGCTGGGATTACAGGCATGGGCCACCGCGTCCGGTGCCTTTTCTTAAAAATAGGCTGCGGAAGGGCAGGGTGGCTCATGCGTATCATCCCAGCACTTTGGGAAGCCGAGGCGGGCGGATCGCTTGGGCCCAGGAGTGCAAGACCAGCCTGGGCAACATGGCGAAAACCCCTTTTCTATTTAAATAAATAAGTTAGTTTGCAAACTTGAGATCATGGCAATTTTTTGTTTGTTTGTTTTTGAGAGGGAGTCTTTGCTCTTTGGCCCAGTTTGGAGTGCAGTGGCGCGATGTCGGATTCACGCCAGTCTCCTGCCTCAGCCTCCCGAGTAGCTGGGACTACAGGCGCCCGCCACCACGTCCGGCTAATTTTTGTATTTTTTAGTAGAGACGGGGTTTCACCGTGTTGGCCAGGATGGTTTTGATCTTCTAACCTCGTGATCCGCCCGCCTCTGCCTCCCAAAGTGCTGGGATTACAGGCGTGAGCCACCGCGCCCTGCAGCAATTTTTTTTTTTTTTTTTTTTAAAGAAAACACTCAAAGCAGTTTCTCATGTTAAGTAGATAACTCAAGATATTGCTTGATTCTTTATAACTTGGGCAGGCTGCAATAAGTCATATTGCTGAAGACTAAGACCCCATGAGTGAGAAGGCGGGATCATGTTCCTAATGGCGTGTGGTACTGGCGAAAGGAAAAGGGAGCTTTGGAGGAGAATTCGTTTTTTTAAGATCTGTAACTGAGAGTCTCCTCTCTTCCCCGATTAAAAGGTTGCAGCAGAGCTGCCGCCTCCGGAGCCAGTTTGCCCGCCGGCTTCGGCTTTGCAGCAGTCACCGCCTACAACTCCCGGCATGCTGCTGGGTGTGGAGCCGGCACGTAGACTCCATTTCCCAGCCAGCCCCGGGTCTCGGTCAGGACGTGCCGGCGCCTATAAGAGCCAGTGCGCTGCGGCCGGAGCCTATTGTTAGCCGGAGCCGGGGCGGTTCTGGGCGTCTGCTGCCGGGGGCGCCCGAGTTGCCGGAGCCGCCCGGCCCTCTCTGCCTGCCGGCTGGGCTGCCCACCGCCCTCCCTCCCCGCCCTGCCGCCCTGGAAGCTCCCCGGCCGTCGCCGCGGGGCCCGGGACTCGCTCGCTCCTCCCTCCTTCCCACCCGGGCTAGGGCGGCGGCGGCAGCGGGGGCGGCAGAGACCATCACGGGAGGAGGCAGCTGCGGCGGGGCCGGTAATGGGCCTAGGGGTGCGGGGCGGAGGGTGCCGCCTCGTCCTTTCTCGGGATCGGCCCTCGGGCGGCCGTGGAGGAGTGGTCAAGCCCAGAGCCGTGCGGATGGAGGGGTCAGAAACGAGAGGCTCGGACGGGAGCGGTCGGGGGGCGGGGAGGTCGGGTGCCGTTGGGAAGGAACCGAGTCGGGAAGAGGCGTGGGAGCGAGGGGCACGGAGGACGCGGGCCCGGACTGCGGGGGCAGCTCGCGGGAGACCGATGGGCGGCTTGGAAGCCTGCAGGATTGCGGATGAGGATTGAGTTCGGAATGGAGTGGAGAATGATGTAGGATGGAGGAAAGTGAAGGAAGGGGAGGGGGAACAGAGGAAAATGTGGGAGGAGTGGTTGGGAATTTGTGAGTAGCAGGCAGGAAGGGATGAGGAAGGCTGGGTAGGGGCTGCAGAGGATTGGAATGAGCGGGAAGGTTAGGAGGAATCAGAGGGAAGTCGACCGAGGGCTGAAGGGTTCGGAAGGAGTGTTCATTAAAGGGAACTGGTGACTTGACATGTCCCTTCGCTCCTGTTCCTGATGTCTCCCGTGTTTTTGGCGTCGTGTGGGAAAATGAAAGCATCAGTGGCCCTGGTTGCTAGCTTGATCTTTTTTCATAGGCCCAAACACGCAGCCAACTGCCACCCTTCCCTTTTAGGGCTGTGGTCTTGATTCATCCTTTTAAAGGGGTTGAGAGTGACAGTGTGACACACAAACTGTTCTTCAAAATGAAATGCTAGAAGTTATCCCCACAAGACAACACTGTCCCCTTGTCCTGCAGTTTTCAGTTCAAGGTAAATCCATAGTTCAGATTTTTTCTTCACTGGCTTTCTGTCTTGCAAATCCGCAAAGCCAGGATGTTGGTTGTGCCGGTGTTATAAATGACTGGATATCCTTGAGAGTTAATGCAGCATCATGTTCCAATTCCCACAAAGATCTGTCTTCCACACGATGGTAGTTTAGGCATGGAAAATTCTAACCTTGTATTAGCGAATGGGTACAAATCAGGGAGTGGGGGTGGTGAGTGCACGGCTTTCTTTAAACACCTGGCTTAAGCCGGGGGTTTTCATTTGAGCGCTTTGTAAGTTCATGATCCTGGTGATCACAAAGACACATGGATCCATGAAATCCATAGTATTTGAGAAACTACAGTATCTTGTAAAAGGAGAAACAGGGCAGGTTATTTTATTCAGGTTTATCATAACATAGCAGCAAGCCTTCCTTCTTCCAACCCAGCTACAGATGGTAGCCCTGACCGTCTTACTGGAGATTGTGATTCCTTGACCTTTCGCAGAAGGTTGGGTTCCAGTCAAGTGAAGATGCTTTCTCCTGTGAGATGCAGCTTATTACTTTGGACTCATTTAAGAAGACACATATTACCTAAACTTTGCAAATAGATTATTCCAGAAAATTTTGCCTGGGCAGTCCCTCTTGCTGGTCTCACATATGATTTTTTTTTTTTTTTTGATTGTATTTGTTTGTTTTGGTGGTTATAGGAATCCTTATAGTCCTGAAAAAAACTTAGATCTAGTACTAAAATACATATATGCTGGTAGACCTCTTTATTAGGTGCTAGCCTGATGTCTTCTATGCTCTGGATCTTAACTATTTCGTATACCATTGGGAAATCTTCAGCTAGAAACCCTTGAGAAAAGACCATTAGACATGTAGCCAGAAAGTGTCAACTGACCTTTCATTTCACTGGCATTTAAAAGCTTTAAAGAGGGTTGCGTTATTTTCTCCAAAAGCATTTGTTGAGTTGGTCATTTTGACAGTTAACTGTCAGTTTTTACCTGCATTCCCAGGTGCTAAAACTTAACAAATGTATCTCTTGAACACGGGCATTGATCCTCTACCAATGAATAATTGAGAGAGGTAGGAATGACTGATTTTTCTAGTTGTAGCTTGAAAGATTAATTTGATGAATTGGGAAGTATGGAAACTATTCTGTTACTATTGCAAAGAAAGATTTCTTTTTTCAAAAAAATATTTTATTTATTTATTTTTTGAGACAGGGTCTGGCTCTGTCACCCCAGCTCTGTCACCCAGGCTGGGGTGCAGTGGCGCAATCTCGGCTCACTGCAACCTCTGCCTCCTGGGTTCAAGCAATCCTCCCGCCTTAGCCTCCCAAGTAGCTGGGACGACAGGCACATACCACCATGCCCAACTAGTTTTTGTATTTTTAATAGAGGCAGGGTTTTGCCATGTTGGCCAAGCTGGTCTTGAACTCCTGGCTTCAAGTGATCTGCCTGCCTTGGCCTCCCGAAGTGCTGGGATTGCAGGCATGTGCCACCATGTCGGGCCAATTTTTCAAAAATACACAGGGTCTCGCTGTGTTGGCCAAGTTGGTTTTGCACTCCTGGCCTTAAGCAATCCTCCTGCCTCAGCCTCCCAAAGAAGGATTTCTTCAGGGCACTAATGGAAGTGAACAGGAGGTTTGTTCTTGGTGCCCAGTGAACATCTTTATCTAAAAGTCAAGTTCATATCAGAGACTTGGACAAGGGGAGCTGGGTTGAAATTTAATCTTATATTGCTTGTTGGGATATAATAGATCTTTTTTCTTTTTAAAAAAATAATGGAGCTAATGTCAGAGAAAATGCTGCTAACAGCCTGGGTAGGGTGAAGAGCGCAATGGAGTCTCCTTGAGGATTTCCCTGAGTGCCATCCACGTGAATGGAAGAGTTTGACCATAAGTCAGTATACATGTTATTTACACACATAGCCATAGGTTCTACTTATTCTCAGACAGCTTAAGGAAAATACTTTTCTCCTAAATGTCACATCTTTTTTCTTTCTTACCTATCTCCTGTCATTGCCCAGAAACCACTATTCCAGAAGTAGGAGGAGGAGAATAGAACAAGCAGCCAGCAATCCTTGCTGCATCCAAGCTCACAAAAAGTTAGAGAGAACTGATACTCCTGAGGGCAACCGGGTTAAGACCGTGGAGAATTCTAGTAATAAAGATGATTTTGGAGCAGACCCAAGTTCATATGAGGCTTAGAGAGAAATATTCAAAGGAGATGCTACCAGAAGCCTGGGGACACCTGAGGAAAGAACAGGAGTGGACATTTACTCCAGTCATAAATCCTTGAGTGTTTCCAGGCTGAGGAAAAAGCCTGCCTGCCTGCCTGCCTTCTTTCTTCTCTTCCCTCCCTCCCTCCTTTTTTTTTTTTTTTTTGACAAGGTCTCGCTTGACATGTCGCCTAGGCTAGAGTGCAGTGGCGCAATCACAGCTCACTGCAAGCCTGGACCTCTTGGGCTCAAGTGATCCTCTCAGCCTCCCAAGTAGCAGCCTCCCAAGTAGCAGGGACTAAAGGCGCACACCACCATACGCAGCTAATTTTTGTATTTTTTGTAGAAACGGGGTTTTGCCATGTTGCCCAGGCTGGTCTTGAGCTCCTGGACTCAAGTGATCTGCCTCCCTCAGCCTCTCAAAGTGCTGGGATTACAGGCGTGAGCCACTGTGCCTGGCCAAAGGCCACTTTTCTAGTAGCAGCACTAACTGGAGCTCAGTTACAACTCAGGTGGGCCTAAAACCCTTTCTGAGAAAGCAGATTTTTAGCTCGGTCAGATTTATCATATGGCTGATAAGTGGGGAGGCAAAATTAAATTCAGTGGGCAACATTATTATATATCTTTTTTTTTTTTTTTTTTGAGACAGTTTCACTCTTGTTGTACAGGCTGGAGTGCAATGGTGTGATCTTGGCTCACCACAACCTCCACCTCCCAGGTTCAAGCGATTCTCTTGCCTCAGCCTCCCAAGTAGCTGGGATTACAGGCATGCGCCACCACGCCTGGCTAATTTTTTTTTTTTTTTTTTTAGTGGAGATAGGGTTTCTCCCTGTTGTTCAGGCTGGTCTTGAACTCCCAACCTCAGGTGATCTGCCCGCCTCGGACTCCCAAAGTGCTGGGATTACAGACGTGAGCCACCGTAAATTCTATCTCTAAAAAGTCCCACCAACATAAGTATTCAGTCACAAGTGGTTCTCCCTCCCTGCTACAATAGAATGGAATGAGAAGTTTGTTGATAGGTATCTTTTTTTTTTTTAATACTTTATGTTCTAGGCTACATGTACACAACGTGCAGGCTTGTTACGTATGTATACACGTGCCATGTTGGTATGCTGCACCCATCAACTCATCATTTACATCAGGTATATCTCCTAATGCTATCCCTCCCCACTTCCCCCACCCTACAACAGGCCCCAGTATGTGATGTTCCCCACTCTGTGTTCAGGTGTTTTCATTGTTCAGTTCCCACCTATGAGTGAGAACATGCGGTGTTTGGTTTTTTGTCCTTGTGATAGTTTGCTGAGAATGATGGTTTCCAGCTTCATCCATGTCCCTATAAAGGACATGAACTCATCCTTTTTTATGGCTGCATAGTATTCCATGGTGTATATGTGCCACATGTTCTTAATCCAGTCTATCATTGATGGACATTTGAGTTGGTTCCCAGTCTTTGCTATTGTGAATAGTGCCGCAATAAACATACATGTGCATGTGTCTTTATAGCAGCATGATTTATAATCCTTTGGGTGTATACCCAGTCATGGGCTGGCTGGGTCAAATGGTCTTTCTAGTTCTAGATCCTTGAGGAATCGCCACACTCTTTTCCACAATGGTTGAACTAGTTTACAGTGCCACCAACAGTGTAAAAGTGTTCCTATTTCTCCACATCCTCTCCAGCACCTGTTGTTTCCTGACTTTTTAATGATCGCCATTGTAACTGGTGTGAGATGGTATCTCACTGTGGTTTTGATTTGCATTTCTCTGATGGCGAGTGATGATGAGCATTTTTTCATGTGTCTGTGGGCTGCATAAATGTCTTCTTGTTGATGGGTATCTTTAAACTCAGCTAAAATCTTAACCCATAAAAAGCCCTCGGCTTGCTCCTTTCTTACCATGCCCTAAGAATGTGACCTCTGATGGTAAGATCAGTAACCTGAAGAACTGAACCGATACTTTGGGCGTGTTTTTTAATTTAATTACAATTTTTATCAAATATTTGATTCTTTTTTTTCCTCCCTGGCCAAATTTATTTCAGGAATGTGCTTGTCTAGACTTCTGATGGCTGAGGTTTCTTAGGTACATCTCGTGACTTGAATGCAGAATTGGATGCAATCTGGATAGATTAGGAAATACCTTCTCTAAGGTACTTATTAGGTCTGGTTGACTTTGTAGAGCTGACCCAAGAGCAGGCAAATTGCTTCCAACAGACACAGTCCAGAAAAACAGCTCTGTAGCAGGCATCTCTTAACACCACAGTATATTCTGGGTAGCTGCTCTGCAGTAATGCAGCCCTGTCGTTCTGGGCAGTGTTGTTATTCCTGCTGCATAATTAGCAACTAGTGAGATCATAGTCTGGGGAGATTCTGGCATTACTGAGGCAAGGGAGGGTTCGTGTCTCATCACACATGGCTCCCGCTCTGACAGCATTTCTGCTGAGCAGATTCGTGTCCTTCTGGAACTTAAATCCAAAGATGGAGGAAAAAGATTTGTACCTAGGAAATGGACTATCTCAGCCTCCTTGGTTGTATTAAAGCGTGTTGAAAACAACACTGCTTGCCATATTGATATAACCAGAATAAATTGTTACTTCTCTTGCTATTTGTTTTCCCCTTGCTGATTTCTTTATAGAGGGCAAAGATTGTAAAGCTACGATGTCCTTGCACAGAGGATGGTGACAGACCAGATGAGCCCTATTTTATGGAGCAGTATGAGATTGGGAAAGATTCTGGGTTTTGAAGCCATGCAGATTCTAATCTTGGGTCCATTCTTTGGTACCAAATTTGACCTTTATAGAAGCCTGGTGAGACACTTTACACTTGTGAAGATCTGGGTAAAGGGTTTTCCTGACTGCTAATGTCCTTCAAAATTGAGTGCCTGAAGCAGTATTTCCCAAAGTGTATTCCAAGCATTATTTGCACTCTAAAATACCTTGGAAACAGTAGGTTCCATAATCAGGTTTGTAGAAACACTGCGTTCTGTGTTCTCTCAGCCGTCACCATCCTTATTAGTATATTAAAAACCTCTAAGAGGTTCCACTATAGGCAATTTTTAAAACCCTTTTGACACAGCAGTCCCATTTCTATGTAAAAGCTATTAATACCATAAGATAGGCACTTTGGGAAATGCCGGGCTGTATTATCACTAGGAAAAATAAGTGGGTCTAGCCGGGTTCAGTGGCATGTGCCCTGTAGTCCCAGCTACTCTGGAGGCTGAGGCAGGAGGATTGCTCGAGTCTAGGTGTTCAAGACCAGCCTGGGCAACACAGTGAGACACTGTCTCTAAAATAGATAAATAGTTGGGTCTAGTCTTGGTTTAGGCAAAGCCTAATTCTGCTTTTTTTCCCTTTTTTTTTTTTTTTTTTTTTTGCCAACCAAACAAGTAGCAGTGATAATTGTGTTTTTGATCTCAAGTTCTTCTCACTGGTCCCTTGGAGAGCTTTCCTATGTGATCAGAAGAGCAGCTACTGTGATTCCTGGGCTAATGAAGCCTAGACCCCAGTTGGATTGGAAGCAAAGGCCTTCCCTCCACTGGGAAAGGTGCCGCTGCTACCCATCTCATTATTCTAAGAGTGACTAAGAATGGAGGGGCTGTTGGGAAATGAAAGTAGGAGAATGTTGGCCAGAGCTAGTAGAGAAAGAACATAATGTTGAGAAAGCAGACGTCAGTGCTAGGTGAGGTGCGTGCTTTAGAGAGCTGTGTGTGTAGACTGGGGAGGGGTCTGTCTTGGGACAGGAATGCTGATTCCTTTTTTTCCCTGGGCAGAATCCTAATGTACCTGGCTAGCTGGTGGTGAGCAGGGGCTTTGGGGCCAACTTGTTGGGCTCCCCAAGGAAACCCCTTTGAAACCAATGGATGCATTCACGGGCTCGGGTCTCAAGAGGAAGTTTGATGATGTGGATGTGGGCTCATCAGTTTCCAACTCGGATGATGAGATCTCCAGCAGCGATAGTGCTGACAGCTGCGACAGCCTCAATCCTCCTACCACTGCCAGCTTCACACGTGAGTAAGCTGCTCCCTCCCTGCCTATACCCACATTCCCCAAGCAGTAGAACCCATGGCAGCTTGAAGCAGCTTCTATGTGGCTTGGGGATTTGCCCTTAATCATCATCTTTCCTTGCTCTTTGGAGGACCTCATTTCTCTAATACTGTAGACTGAAGTCTGATTTATTCTAGCTGATTTTACTTGTGTTGTGGGTTGCTGGTTCCCAGAATGGGTTAAATTAGATTGAAGAAGGAGTCCAGGACTCTACCCTGCCCCCACCAGAGTCCCAGAGAGTTCCAGGAAATTGAGCTGTAGCAGGATATAAATGCTTGCTGCTTGGACAACTGGGGCAAATCCAGATTTCTTAATTCTTTTTTTTCTCGAGACGGAGTCCGCTCTTGTTGCCCAGGCTGGAGTGCAGTGGCGCCATCTCAGCTCACTGCAACCTCTGCCTCCTGGGTTCAAGTGATTCTCCTGCTTCAGGCCTCCTGAGTAGTTGGGATTACAGGCGCCCGCCACCACGCCCGGATAATTTTTTGTGTTTTTAGTAGAGACAAGGTTTCATCATATTGGCCAGGCTGGTCTCGAACTCCTGGACTCAGGTGATCCACCCGCCTCAGCCTCCCAAAGTGCAGGGATTACAGGCGTGAGTCACTGTGGCTGGCCAAGATTTCTTAATTCTTACAGGTCTGTTAGTTCTGGGAAAGAACTTCTGATATTATATATGAGGGGTTGCCCATGGGCCAAATCTGGCCCAATGCCTGTTTTGAAACTAAAGTTTTGTTGGAACACAGTCATACCCATTGTCTGTGATTACTTTCACGCTACAGTGGCAGAGTTGAATTATTGCAACAGAGACCTCATGGCCTGTAGAGCCTAGAATAGTTACTGTCTGGCCCTTGACAGTTCGCTGTCCCCTGCTGCAGATCAGTGCTGTCGAATGGAATTTTCTGTTACGATAGAAATGTTCTGTATCTGCATCGTCTAACAGTAGCCAGTTGCCATATGTGGCTATTGAGCACTTGAAATGTGGTTAGTGGCCGGGTGCAGTGGCTCATGCCTGTAATCTCAGCACTTTGGGAAGCTGAGGTGGGTGGATCACTCGAACTCAGGGGTTTGAGACCAGCTTGGGCAACATGGCGAAACCCCGTCTCTACAAAAAATACAAAAATTAGCTGGGTGTGGTGGCGTGCACCTCTAGTCCCAGCTACTCTGGAGGCTAAGGTAGGAGGATCACTTGGGCCTGGGAGGTTGAGACTGCAGTGAGCAGTGATTGTGCCACTGTACTCTAGCCTGGGTGACACAGCAAGACCCTGTCTCAAAGGAAAAAAGAAAATAAAGAAATATGGTTAGTATAATTCAGCTGAAATTTTTTTTTTTTTTTGAGATGGAGTCTTGCCCTGTCACCCAGGCTGGAGTGCAGTGGCACAATCTTGGCTCACTGCAACCTCCGTCTCCCAGGTTCAAGTGATTCTCCTGCCTCAGCCT